CTTAGATTGGGGGTCTCTCTCTCTCGCTCAGGTGTGGGCATCGCTGCTGTTGTACCGCAAGATATTAGACGAGATTGAAGCGAATGACTATAACAACTTCACAAGAAGGGCATACGTGAGCAAACCAAAGAAGCTGCTTTCGTTGCCTATTGCATATGCAAAAGCTATTATTCGACCATCAACAACCCCTTCCCATTTGGCAAGAACTTGAACAGAACCTTAAAAATCAACTAATGCTCTATTTGAAGCATTAATAGGCATGTACATTAAAATGTTTTAGCATCACTGTATGTCAGTGTAACTGAACATTTTATACTTCTGAAAGTAGGATGTGAAAAGTTGTGTTGTTCATTGGCCACCTTAAACATCAGCAGTTTCTTCTTTTCTTTGCATTAGAACAATCACTATGTAGTTATTATTTGGTGTGGAATTGTGTTGAATTCTCTTGAGGGCGGTTCTAACTGTTTTGGACTGTGTTCGATAACTGTTACTCCGTATTTTTTTATGCTTATTTGCTTAGAATAAAGGAGTGTTTGGGATTGATTAAAAAAAGCGTTTTTCAGTTTTTGGCTTAAAAAAAGTTGAAAAGAGTGTTTTCAAATGATAGCTTCTGCTTAAATTAATCACTTAAAAGCTAAAAGTTGGAAGCAGGTAGAAGAGTGCTTTAAACTGCTTCTCACTTTTTCTATTACACAAAAAGTACTTATTTTACCAAACACTACCAACTTTTACTTTTTCAGAATCACTTTTTTCTCAAACACTACCAACTTTTACTATTAATCACTTTTCCCAAAATCACTTTAAAAAATCACTTTTTTAAAATTGAAGCAATCGCAAACACTCCCTAAACCTGCAAGAAGTGTACCAAGTTTAAGTACACTATTGGAGTTCGTTTGCTTAATGCGTATTAGGTAGTATTATTGAAGTAAAAACACATGGATGAAAATGTCATTGAAGTTATTATGTGTATCTATCGTCTGAGGAATGATCCCCTCCAGCCAGAGGGACAGGACCCTCTGTCCAGCTGTCGCGGTTTTTGGTGGTTCCCGATGAAATTTATTGATGAATTTTTTGAGCATGTTCTACATCAAGCTAGTGTATCCATAAAAAATTTCAGCTAAACATTCGATTAGGAAGACAGTCAAATAATTTGTTGAAGATAATGGCGCCAAATTTTACATATAAAACGCAATTATTTTCAAATTTGACTACCTTCTCGATCGTACTTTTGTCTGATTTTTTGTATGGATAAACTAGACTTGATGAGGAATATGTTAAAAAAATTCATAAAACAACTCCACCGGGAACCGTCCCAAACGGCGGCGGCCGGACGGTGCTTCCTATCCATCTGGATGACTGGATGGGCATGATCTTTTTTCTCTATCGTAGCCATTATAATGTAAATAATCTTCCATTTTTCCTTTTTGGCAAAGATTTTTTTGTTCACAATATTTTCAGACATATTTTTTTTACACATTTCTCTTCTCTCTACATAACTATCTGCTATACAATATCCACTATGTTAACACTGTGCCAAATGTACTTTGGAAGATAATTTAGGAACAAAGGGAATAAAATGTAGACAAAAGGTAATCATGTGGGGATGTTTTTGGCTTTATATACTTGAAAATAAAATATAGACAGAAAAGGTAACCAAGTAAGGTGAGTGATGGCGGACGTACAATGAGGGGAACTGGACAAGAGGCAGTGGCCATTAGATTTTAGGTGATGTTTTAGTTCATGATGAAAAGACATTTTATGATGATGCCTCCACAAGAACGGTTTCAAATTATGAAGAGGAGATGAATCTTTCATGGCATAACCGTCATTAGTGATAGTCACTATCATGACTAGCATCATGCTAGTCAAGATAATTTCCATGACATTCTTTGTTACGTATTAGAACATTTACATTAATTAATTCTATAGGCTATTTCTTAGAAAAGTATATTAATGGAGAGTCAATTAGGAATATAGCCCTCGGTGACGGATTAAGGGCATCTGACTATCTGAGTCTGGTACCATAATTTCCAATTCTGGAAAATAATACTCGTATAATACTTAGGTGCCTTTAAAAAAAATACTAGTAATACTTAGGTGATAGGTTGATGTTCTCCCTTCCTATCCCGGTAACTCGATAAGGCCCGGAGCTAGAAGTAGTTGAAAAGTAATGCTGTTTGCCTGTTTGGTTGAAGAAGAAAATTTAACATTTTCAATAAAATGTAAGATCAAAATACTTTAGGATGTGGAAGCAGTAAGATTGCTTTATCTCGTTACATCATGAATAATTTTGTACGTATTGAACTCCGGACACATTAAAATTTATGATAATGAGGTATATTTTTACTACGGAGTAGGGATGGACTGGGCCCGGGAAGCCCGGCCCGGGACCGGTACTATTGGTACCGTCCTGGGTTCAGTTTTCCGGGACTGATACAGGCCTGGTACCCGGACCGGTGGTTATGTTATAAGAGGAAGGGCTTCGGGCTTGATTTTTTGGGCCCGGCCCGGGCCAGTTCGGGCCGTACGGCTATTTGTTTTTAATTAAACGGGTGGACACCGGTACCAAAGCATACCGGGCCGTTTGGGCTCGGATCGGAACCGATACCGGAGCATTGAGCATACCGGGCCAGTACCGGGCTCCAGTTTTCCAGAATCGGTACCGGCAGCCCGGCCGGGTACCGACCCCGACCCGGTTCCATTCCTATTACGGAGTACTATCTTTACAAAATTCCACCCTCGCTATTACACAATATTTTTTTTATGCCCGGATTTTTTTCCTTGGACTGGATAACTTTGGCTCGTGCGGAAAATTTCAAGCTGGAGAGCAAATGTTTAGTGGTTGACCTGGACCAGTTTGATCAGACGTCAAGCTGGACCAAAAAATCAGGATTGAGCGAGGTCGAAAGTGCACAAAATCGGCCCAACGCATACATTGTTTGATCACTAAAATGAGACCGGTCTAGACCATTTCCGGTCTCAGCTACTTTATTTTAAAAAATAAGTTGAATTTGTGTGGAATGAAACCAGACCCTTACTTAAATTTCAGTCCCAGAATCGGCACAAGGGTAGGAGACCGAATATCGAATGGTTTGGAGGATATTCCAAGTATCATTATGTTATACTATCGTATATATATATATTGGGTGGCAATTTATTTTGTTTATATACCTCAACACTTAGCAACTTAGCAGTAAAAACTCTTCTAGACGGTAATGATGTGCATAATAAAATCGTGATTTGAAATAATAAAATCGATACATGTTCCAGAGCCATTCAAATCTCTTATAAATTATTCTTCATGCTATTATAGGATGTTTTTACTTGGACTGTGTTTAGTCCCAGACCAGACCAGATCAGACTGACTTAAATCGATCAAACAGATCATATCAGATTTGGACAGTTATAAAGTACATAGAGACTAAACATTTACCAGATCAGACCAAACCAATTCAGACCAGACCTGATTTAAATAGACCATATTAGATCAAACCAGACCAGACCAGAAAGTTTAAGTCCAATTAAAAACATCCATAATGTGGGTGGCTACTTCGGGTTAGAAATGATAACATTTAAATCATTCACATCACAAAATTATGTAAAATCATAATACAACTCTAAATCACAAGAATACTCCTTCACCACTCCTAAATCTATAAATAAAACTGTCCACAAACTATAATTGAATGAATAATAGAATTGAGATGGTAGGAAGTCTAAGAACTACTCCGTACTTGTCATCAATCGCAATATTGAAATAAGTAACAAACCCGAGAGATATGTTGTTCTCGAACAAGAAACAATGAAAAGTCAAATCTAATCTTGTCAATTGAAGTTTGTTCTTGTCTCAGACTCAAACGAATCCAATTAAAACATCTTTGATTCGATGATTCTCACCAAGTTCTTAGCATTTACTCCGTAGTTGAATTCAAAATAGCCTCTTTCGCCTACATAATTTATATGCTTCATCGTTGTTTCAACGCACGATCTCCCGTAAAAGTTTCCTTTGCCAGAATTTTCATAAGTTCATATTAGCAAATTATGTTTTTCGCATGTATCGAATTTATTTATTACAAGCAGTAACTTGCTAGGATTGCAACAAGAATGTCACAACACTCATCTCGAAATTCTAGGTATTCCAACTAGTTTCATTTTTAATTTACAAGTTCTCTTCTACCTGTTAGTATGACTTTTTATACCGATCAAAATGACAATGTTTGATCATGACGATATGACAAAACATACCTTAGATGATAACATGGTCGATTGATGATGACCAAATGCATTGCTAATGCAAATATGACATTATAATGTCTTAATTGTAACATTTGGTTTGTTTTTAACTTCAATCCCTTTTCCATTATTTAGCTTTCGTATAAGGTCATTTTATTACTTTCTCTTTTCTTTTAGTCCTACAATTAAGGCCATACTCAAAAGTGGGACTACTATGTTTACAATGTAAATACAATTTGCTCCCATGTGGATAATCTAAAATAGAAATCTACACTAAAGAAAGTTTGACATTTGAATTTTATGTTGTGTCCATTTATTTAACAAGACAAGAAGCTAGGTAGGTAGCCTCCAAGTATGTGATCCTCAGACGGCCACATCACGTGCTCACGTGGTAAGTGAACATCCATGGGGGGCCCACTACAAGGCAGCAGCGCAGCTAGCCAGCTACCGGCTGGTTCAAGTTCGTGTGCCAACCACCAAATGGTCAACCGATTAATTATCATCTTCGATCTTCTATATCTACGGCAAACAAAATTATAACCCCATTTAGGTGAGAAATAAAAAACGTGAAAATTGTGAGTTTGAAATTTGCGCAAATCAGAACGCAACGAACCGAACCACAAATTTGATACTTTAATAAAAAAAGACAATATTTTTGGAATAATAAAAAAGGAAAAGTTGATAAAATCGAATGAAACGGAATGAGTAACACCCTCTTCTATAAAACACTTAATTAGTAACTCTTATATATATACAACTATACAAGTGGTTGGGTAGCTAGATAGGCAAGACAAATAAACATAATAATAATGGTAGTAAAGGTGTATGGTTCAGCAGTAGCGGCATGCCCGCAAAGGGTGATGGCTTGCCTGTTTGAACTGGGGGTGGAGTTTGAGCTTATCCATGTTGACCTTAACTCCTTTGAGCAGAAAACTCCAGAATTTCTACTTCGCCAGGTATGTATGTAGCTGCCAAATTCAGTTCTTTTCCCTACCTCCTCTCACATCCATATATATCTACCTAAAATGGTGGAATCACCAACTACACAGAACTTCACACCTTAACCCGACAAAATGATGAAGAAGTAAATTTGTAGATTCATGGTATGATTTCAAACATTTTCTAAAGTGGTTCATGCGCCCACAATGAACCAACTCGCTAGTGTGTGCATATATACAACATATAGTAGCACTCCCTAGTACTCCTTCGTCCCTAAATAAATGTCCTAGTTTGACGTCAGACATATTAATGAAATGAATTTGCTGAAGGGTAAATTTTATACTGTTTTGACACTGTTTGACACAATTTTGACACTGTTTGACACTATTTTATATAGATTTGTTTACCAAATAAGGAAGTTGGAGGAAGCGGGACTCTAATTTAGGGACATCCCAAAAAAGAAAGTGAAACTTTAATTTAGGGACGGGTGGAGTATATAACACTATGAGATACACCTCAAGTAAGACACATTCTTATTAGGTTTTTTTCAAACAGTACTCAAAGAAAACACATTTTCTCACACAAGATCAATCACCATTGTTGAAAGATGAAGTTTTAAAAACTCTTGTTGCTTTCTTTGGACTACGTAAGTCTAATTTAGAAACAAATCAGATTTAGTCTTATTTAGTACTACCTCCGTCCAATATTTATCTTCATAGTTCGGTTTACGATGCTTGACTGACGATAAAGCAACTCGATCCCTATTCACACTCGGATTATTTTTAGAAAATAAAATTTACATATTCAGAAACTACATTAAAACCGCTACAAAGCCTGATCAAGAAAATTTAAATTAGATAAAAATTTGATATATAAAGTAAAAAATTAAGAGTAATTTGAATTGACCATGTGAATAGTAACTATGAAGATAATTTTGGGACGGAGAGAGTACTACATATTAAAGTCCACTTTTAGGATGAGATTTCGAGTCTTTATATGGTAGCGTGCGAGTCAGTCAAACTCAAATGAGCAATTAATGTGCCTAAGACTCTACAAGGCATACTTGAACTTTAAAATTAGCTTGCCCATTGCCATTTTGGAGAAGCATGTTAAACCATCCAACATTGGCCATATACAGAGTATTTAGGAACTTCAGACTTGTTTATATTTTATTGTAATGAGCCCATATATGTTTAGCCCATATATAATACTACATGCCTCCCTTAATGGACTTCCTAATTGATTTGATCTTCATGTGTCCATTCATGCTTGAAAATTGGTTTATTGTTTGACTTTAAAAAATTAAATTATACAATGGGTAAATACTATTGTAGAGTACGTGTATCACGGTGACATTGCATAATTATTCTTACATGAGGGAGAAGGGTGAATTGATAAAGTTGTCTTGATTAAATAAAGAAACAAAACTTTATTTAAGGACATCCCAAAATGAATATGTAAATTTTAAATAGGAGATTAAGAGGGAAGAAAGCACGTAGTAGTATTTTGAGCAGGGGTAGAATATCGGTGTTTGGATCCACTTTTATTGGTTTTGGTTGGGTTCGACTTGGAACGAATTGGAAGTATCATCGTCAAACAAAAATCATACTATTTTCGGTTTGGTTTGGTTCGATTCAGTTTAGTTTGGTTCAATTTAGTTCACTTTGATTTGGTTGGGATTTGTTATTTTTTGATAACATATGTAGGTTTAATTGAATTTCTTTAGTTCGGTTCGGTTATTCAATATTTCTCAGTTTTGGTTGGGTTCAGTTCGGTTTAATACGATTTGAAAGAAATATTACCAAACTCAAACTGAATTGCACATGATTTAGTTTAGTTCGATTTGGTGTAGTTTAGTTCGGTTTAACCAAACCAATATGCTCACCCTAGTTTTGAATATATTTTTGTTGCATCACACATTTGTTCCATGAAGTACTACACATTGAGACAAAGAGAGAAATTTATATAAACTTGTTTAAAAGTATTTGTAAGCGGCATTCTTGTACAAATGTATTAATCACTTTCTTGTTGTGTTGGTTTCTAAATAGGCCCTCTTTGTGAGCTTATTTATATTGATGCTTATAATTTCCTTAGAGAACTCAATATATAAACTATTCTTTCTCTGTTTTCTCTATGCAAATGACACATTATTTTATTCTCTTGCAGCCCTTCGGACAGGTTCCAGCAATCGAGGATGGAGAATTCAAGCTTTTTGGTGATATATCATTCCACAAACTAATTATAATTCTTCCAATGCTCTACAAAGAAACTGTCATGATTTATAAGAAACTGGAAAATTTTGTGAAAGATGTTTCGTTGATCGGTTGCAACTAAACATTTCGGTAGTATAATCGCTAAAAATTACTAATATGATAGCCACATAATTATACGTAGTATGTGTTTGGTGTTTGCATTTTTGTACATATTTTGCACACTTGAGTGTGTATGCAGATAACTTCTACATGTAAGACGAATTGTCCCTCTACGAAGATAAGAGGGTGCGTAAAAAACTTGTACAAAAAAATTTACTACTAAAATAATTTCCACAAAATCTTTATCACGCAGTACTCCGCCGATCTGAAATAAACTTCACACTTTCATTTTTTGGTAGGTTCAAAATAAACTTCACACTTCTATTTTTAGCAACTTTTTAATACTCCCTCCGGTTTTTAATAAACTTCACACTTTCCTTTTTGGGACGGTCTAAAATAAACTTCACACTTCCTTATTTCCTTTTTTGGCAAAGAAATCTACATCGAAACAGTGCCAAACAGTGTCTCAACAGTGCCAAACAGTGTCAAACAGTGTCTCAACAGTGTACTCTACAGTAAAGTCAAATTTCTTTCTTTATTTTGTGTGAAGTCAAAGTGTGAAGATTAAATAAAACCGGAGGGAGTATAAAGTTACCCTTATGCTCTTACTTTATGACCTAATTTACACCTACTTTCTCTTTCCCACCACACTTTATCTGCTTTTTGGGAGGCATAATAATAGGGTCAAAACAAAAAATTTCATTTTCTTAAAAACCGTAAAGTCAAACAATAAAATTCTTTTGGGACGTGAGGAGTATATTAATGAATGTTGTTGTTTGTTGACAGAGTCTAGGGCGATCATAAGATACTATGCAACAAAACACGCAGAAAAAGGGTGCAACCTGATAGGAACTACCCCAGAAGAAAGAGCTGTGGTTGATCAATGGCTACAAGTGGAATCCAACTACTTCAACGATCCAGTGTACAACATTGTTCTTCAGCTGCTCATCTTCCCCACAATGGGGCAGCCCACCGACCCCACTGTGGTCAAGAAATGCACCGAAACTCTTGGGAAAGTGCTTGATGTTTACGAGGAAAGGCTTTCCAAGAGTAAATACCTCGCCGGAGATTTCTTCTCTTTGGCTGATCTCAGCCACCTCCCCGCCCTGAGGTTCTTGACGAGTGGCGGCGGAGATGGTTTTGGCCATTTGGTTAGTGGCAGGAAGAGTTTGAATGCTTGGTATTTGGACATTTGTGGCAGACCTGCTTGGAAAAGAGTGTTGGACCTTATGAACAAGAATTAATGATGTTGTTTGAAATTAACGTTAAGTTTTAATTTCCATTTTTCCCATCTCCCCTTCTTGCATGTTTAAATTGCTCAATTCCTTGCGAATAAAATAGTCATAGATAATCCAATTTCATTCTCTTTCATGATTGAAATAGTTACTAATATGACCAAAATCAAGAGATTGAACAAAAGTAATGCCTTCCATAATAGCAAAAAGGTATATATTCTTCGTAGTTATGAGTGGTTTGATACGATATATTTGAATATTTTATTTCACATTTTTGCTACAATAAAACTTTTAATACTTCGTATACAGAAAGCACACTGTTACCTTGGTGTGGTAATAGTACGTTATCGATGAAATGTCATTTCATGTTACGTTGGAATTTTATTACAAGAAATTCTTACATGTCAAAGGAAATATAAATAAGCTTTATTAGTGATATATTAAAACTATTCATTATGTCGTAGTACTACTATACATAAGCTTTGTAAACAACTAAAAACTGTTGGTTTTCTTCTTTCGTCCCTTAAAACTTTGCCAGGTTTGAAATTTGTTCAGAAGAGAGTGAATTAACTAGAACCACAAATTATTTACTTAAAATGTAAAATGACAAAGTTAGTGGGACATTCCAAAAAAGAAAGTTGGTAAAGTTTTAAAAGACAGAGGGAGTACTAGTTTAACACAGAGGCCGTTTGGTAACACTGAAATTGGCTGTATTGGCTGATTCTGCTGAAATTTATGAAGTTCTGGCTGAAGTGGTTGTATTGGCTGATTCTGCTGAAAATTATATTTAAAATATTTGTTATTAATAAATCAAATTAAAATTATATGAAAAATAGCTAAAATGATCCTCTACGGTAACTTCAGCCAATACAGTCAGAAAAGTAACTCTCACCTTACTTTTTCTTATTATTACACAATCAGCACGCAAAAGTAAAAGTTACGTGTTTGGTGAAAAATCTGGTTGATAAGCCTGATAAGCCAAAAAATGGTGTCACCAAACGGACTCACAATGTGTAAGAGAAATGTAATATGAGTATTTATAATTTAGATAAAGTAGGAGAGAGGTGAAAAGTATGATAGAGCGAAAAGGAGTAGAAAAAGAAAGATTAGTTAAGTAATTTTTAAATGGAAAGTTTACTAAAAAGGGAAAATGAGGCAAAAATTAAAGTACATCACAAAAAGAAAGTATAACAAAAATTTGAATACAGAAGAAGTACTAATAATAAATTAATTAATGTTGTCCTATTCAATTTTGAAGATTTGTTTTACCATTATATATTTATATGTTTCGCCACTTACCATTATATAGTTCATAAAATCAACTTTTTATTTTTTGACAATTCTTTCTAACTTATATGGTATCTGCTCAAAGTTCATAAAATGAACTTAAACACTATAGATATAACTAAAGAGAAAGTTTCAAATAGAAATAAAATAATACTCCCTCTGTCCCTAAATTTACTTCCATTTCGCTTTTCGAGGGTCAACTTAAATCACTCTTAAACTCTTACTTTTTGTATCAAAACTTTATGAAAATTGATTTTTTTTTTGGGAAAACTGTCAAATAGGTCCTCAAACTTTCATAAAAAGGTCAATTAAGTCCTTCTATAGGAGGTTCTGTCCGGCCGTCGCGATTTGGGGCAGTTCCCGGTGGAGTTTTTTGATGAAATTTTTTGAGCATCTTATTCACCAAGTCTAGTTTACTCATACCAAATTTCAGCTAAAACTTCAATCGGGAACACATTCAAATTAATTCTTGAAGATAACTGCGCATTTTTGCGTTCTCGAATTAATTTGAATGCGTTCCCGATTAATTTTTTAGCTAAAATTTGGTATGAGTAAACTAGACTTGATGAATAAGATGTTCTAAAAATTTCATCAAAAAATTCCACCGGGAAACGCCCCAAATCGCGATGACCGGACAGAGTCTCCTATAGAAGGACTTAATTGACTTTTTTATGAAAGTTCGAGGACCTATTTGACAGTTTTCCCTTTTTTTTTGGCAGGCTTTGTAGCAGGTTTAATGTAGTTTCTGAATATGTAAATTTAATTTACTAAAAATAATCCGAGTTTTCACAGGTACGAAGTATAATTTAACTTTATCGTCGGTCAACCTTCGTAATCCGCAATTGGAACAACATTCAGGGACGGAGGGAGTAACAAATTTTCTGGAATAGAAGTATCAATATTTTATTCCTGTAATATGACTCGAGCTCATCGGTAACGTTGGTCCTTTTTATGCTGCGTTAACATTTAACTTGATCCTACCCGGTACAAGCTAAGCTTGCCCCGGTATGTATCTACTGGCTGATCCATCCACTGGCTGCAATATCATTTGTGCTCTCCGCCACTTGTCCAGGTATGTATCTGCTCTAGCCACTACACGATCCTTGGACACCTTTTGTTATTCCATACATTGGCCTCCAGTGTGATTGTTGAAACTGCTAACACTAAATCAAACTAGATAATATTTCAATTTAAAAGAATTGTGAGCTCTAATTTAAGCTTAGCCATCCTTTAACAAACTTCCCTATTAATGTATAACGACGTATGAGAATACTCAATTTGTTCTCATCCATTTTCTCTCAAATCTTGAAATTTACCAGTAATCCTTTGCTCTTACACAAATTCATTGTCTCGAGAATATGTTGATATTTTTGTTATAAGAATTGTGACAATTTGTTCATCAATCCCTATACTTTCTTAATCGCGTGAGCAGTAATTTTTTTTGATTGTTTTCCATCTTTGGTACCAAGCTACTTGTAATGCCCGTGAATTTTAAATCACTTCCATCATCAAATCAAATATATTGTTAAGAACTTAGATTGCAAGAGTACAAAGAGCAATGGCCTTAAAATGTGAATTCCAATGTGAAGCTCTAGGTCGAGCTAAACTACTTTTGTGATATAATCCTCTAATGATGGTAAGTTCACCTTTTTGCAAAATCTCTATTATTGTCAGTGAATAAATATTTAAAGAAGTCACCCACAAACATAATTTCTTGGGTATATTTAAAGAAGTCAACCCTTGGTGAACAAAACAGTGGATATATTTTGTGTGTGAATTTTTATTCAGAGTAACGATTTTCAATCTATTAAGCTCAGCTCGCCACAGGTATTAGAAATCCTATCATATCATTGACCTCAAATCTAGATTAAGATAAGGCATGCCAACAACAAATAATCAATGTCACTTGTCAAAAAAAATGAGATGATGCCAACAACATGTTTAACTTCAAGGAATTGCTCAATCACCATTCAGTAGTCATTTACTATGCATATCTCACAACAACGTTCATTTGCTAAATGAGATGATGCCAACAACATGTTTAACTTAATTATCACTTTGTCTAATTTTTATCTTTCTTTTGAATAGAGAGAGACTAATTTTATTGCAAGTATTAATACTAAATCTCAGGGTTAGAATTAGCAGGAACACTTGACCTCCCAATTCAAACCTCCTAGGTCCTCTACTAATTCCATAAAATATAATTTATTTCCTTCCAATTAAAGACCCCATAACATCGTAACAAACCTGTTGCAAATTTCAGCACCTGACTTTGAAACAAATTCTATTCATCCCACAAATGAGCTCTCTTCCCCGGAAACTCCGATTCAAAGAATTCCAAAGCTGCTAGCTTCAATTCAGATAACCAGATACTTAACATTGGCCAAAAACATATATAGAACTTTCAGCTTCGTCTTCACACAAACAACACTAGGGAAAATAGTCCACCCTCCTAGAACTAACCTTCCCTGACATTGGTAAGCTGCAGCCCATGCAAATCTACCTGAAAGGACTTTCACCTTCGGTGGTTATAGAATTGAAATAGTACTCTCAATTATAATATACTCCGAAATTATGATTAGACATGACACATTGTGTGATTCTAGGAATTAAATATAAAACATATTTCTCCATATTGTTATACCTTATGTAACATCATGCAGTGTTATAAAAATCGGCCTAGTCGGACCGATTAATAATCCTAGTTGACCCTAATTGTAGAGGTCTAATCGGCCTAGTCAGTCAAAAAAACGGCTTTGTTGATTGTCTAACGCCAGGGCCGGTCGTGAGAAATTGGTGACCCTATGCAACAACAAAAATTGGTAATTTTCTCAAGTTCCACCACATTTTACTATCAAATATCAAATTATCAATTACTCCCTCCATCCCCTTTTAAATGTCCCGTTTTACCATATTGGGATGTTCCTATTTAATTGTCTCATACCTTATTTGGTAAAGTTTGTATGGTTCAAAATCATTCTTACTTTATTCTTACTTTATCAATTAATATCAACCACACAAATCCACTTTTCTTAAAACTCGTGTCACTGATGTGTGTTTCCTCGCACTTAAAATAGATTGTAATATAGTGGTATAAGTACGAGTATCGTCTCCACAGGGACGGACAAAAGGGAAACAAAGATTAACTAAATTCAGCGATTAAAAAGAAATAAATAAAAATGCGTCGTGCGAGATATGATTGGAATGGAAAATTAAACTAATGCTACTGAACAATAAAATAAAAGCTTGGGTTCTTCTCAAATAATGACGAAGGGAACAGGGATTGATTGCGGGGTAACCATATTTCTGGCAGATCAGGCCTAATTACATGAAATTGATTTAATTGGGCCTAGCTAATCATTACTAAGTTCTTACCGCTCTCGCGGCATAGAGTACAATAATTTAGGGGACCAGACTGATCTCTCATGCGACAGGATACTAAATTATTGCCAAAATGAGCGAGCTTACGGCCCCTTAATCGCTACTAATCTCTTAGCGAACGATTAAGTGTGTGTGAATGTGTCCTAGAACAAATTAGATCTCTCTTAATTCATTCTACATGCAATTGTAATTCTAGCTGCAGTCTAGGTTACAAGAGATATCAGTCAAATTATTCAAACACAAATTAAACGGCATTCATGCAATTAACCCATCAAGAATCTAGTCATACATCATGATCAACCCCTTCATCAATCCCAAATCCCTAATTAAAACTACTCACAATTCATAATTGAAGAATCAATAGAATTGGAATAAAAAGAATTAATTGTCATTAATTAAAAAGGTGGAACTTACAAAGAATCCCAAAAGATTGATGAACAAGGATGAAAAACCCTCTAAAATTCGTGCTAGGCACTCTCTCTAAGCCCCCTTGAAAACGGGGGTTTACAGGCTGTTTAAATAGAAAAATCGGGTCAAATTTGAGCTGAATTGGGATTTCCGAAGGCAGGCACGGTGCCAGGCACGATCGTGCCTCCGGAGCAAAAACGCGCATTTTTTCCAGGCA